TACCCATGTCGGGAATCGAACCCGGGTCTTCTGCATAGCTTACCGTATATTACCGTAGATAAGTATGTAAGAAGGGGAATGACTGTATACAGGGCATGTGTAGGAAGGGGAAAATACAGAGCTTCTGTAAGAAGGGGAAAATACAGAGCTTCTGTAAGAAGGGGAAAATACAGAGCTTCTGTAAGAAGGGGAAAATACAGAGCTTCTGTAAGAAGGGGAAAATATAGAGCTTCTGTAAGAAGGGGAAAATACAGAGCTTCTGTAAGAAGGGGAAAATATAGAGCTTCTGTAAGAGGGGGAAAATACAGAGCTTCTGTAAGAAGGGGAAAATACAGAGCTTCTGTAAGAAGGGGAAAATATAGAGCTTCTGTAAGAAGGGGAAAATACAGAGCTTCTATAAGAAGGGGAAAATACAGAGCTTCTGTAAGAAGGGGAAAATACAGAGCTTCTGTAAGAAGGGGAAAATACAGAGCTTCTGTAAGAAGGGGAAAATACAGAGCTTCTATAAGAAGGGGAAAATACAGAGCTTCTGTAAGAAGGGGAAAATACAGAGCTTCTGTAAGAAGGGGAAAATACAGAGCTTCTGTAAGAAGGGCAAAATACAGAGCTTCTATAAGAAGGGGAAAATACAGAGCTTCTGTAAGAAGGGGAAAATACAGAGCTTCTGTAAGAAGGGGAAAATACAGAGCTTCTGGACCAGACAATCCAGTGATCAACAGCAGGGGCATCGATCAATGCAATTGGGATAGAATGACATGTGTCCGATCCCCTCCGACCACCCGATCCCGTTATTCGCCTCTTACGTCAAGCATCGGTTACTGAAGATCAATTCTAACCTGGATCTTCATGGGTGCAAGACATTAGAAAAAATTACCTTTGGGAAATACATGCGTATTTGATAACATGCTGCATTGTGATAACTTCAAAATTAGTTTAGGGTTTAATCAAGCATGTTGTGATGTCATTAACAAGAAACAAATTTGATGAGAAGATTTCTTTTCCAGAATTATCAGACCAATTCCCAGTGTGTTATTCCAGATCAACTTAGGTCCAGCAGTTGAAATGTATCTTCACAGCAAATATCACTGCCCTATCTCTCCTCCTCACTTTGTGCTGTTGTCCTTGAAACTAATTGTATTTACAAACTTTTCTTCAAAAAAAGAAGAATTTATTTTGAGGTTCTAAAGCTGTCCAAGAACTTTGAGGGAAAATTACAGACCTGATGTTATAGCTTAAACTAAATATTTGAATGTAGGAGCAGAGAAGAGTATTTTTTTCCAAAATGATCTGTAAGGAAAATAGCACTGCAGTCAATGTATGCATAGCATCAAAGGTAATGGTATTTATTCAGCAAACATCTAATAGAAGACAGGAATAAAAAAACAACATTTAATGATATTCGGTTAAGAAAACAGATTTACTGCGGCCGAAATCTGTCCATGAAGATGAAAGGCAAGAGTCAATTACAAATCGTTTGTACTACATCGTAGATGCTTTTTTAACAATTTCAACAAATTACAGAATAGCCTAAATATACTTTCAACCTGGTAGGAATGATATTCATCCAAATGATAAGTATCACATCCTTTATTGATGAAAATACATTCCTAGGATCCTTTGCCAGTGCTCATCAATACTGACTTGGCAAAGAAACGTCGAAACGCATCACAATCAAAATAGGATCAAAGGCAGCCCCTCTCAAATTAATCAGCTGCGTTATCGACAGTTAAGTTGATATCGTTTTATTTTCGCGATCTCAATTTGAATGCCTTTGTCAAAAGCAGTTTGTTTTGTCTAGTAATAATCCCAGGACGAACTGTGAGGACAACTCGTTTATTCACAGCCTGTCAATCACGAGGCCTTCAAAGACTGAAGGAGGATCAGATGCAGTGTTTTCATTTAAAACATGGGGTTTCAAATCAGGGATGGGTGATCCGGTAATGGAAGATTAGGGTCTAGTTTTTCACCAATATTTGACAAAGATTGCTTTTATTTGATATGCTGGTGAATGATGGACATTTAAAGCAAACGGGGAAAACTTAACTTGATTGCGGGGGGAAAGAATTTGTAATGAACGTTTCACCATCATATTACTTCTATTTTGGGATCCTTTCTAATTGTGCATGTTTAACTCATTGTAAATGAGTAATTCTGTATCATAACAACCACGTTTCTCGCAGCCGAGACTAAAATTGACAGCTTCATTGCGAGAACCTCTTCTGAAGTTCTCAGTTCCTGGATCGACCAGTTGGAGAGAGCCAAAGCTGAATGGTTTATTTGCAGGTCTGCGCCATTTTTGGGTCAATCAGATGATAAAACAATGTACAAATGTACAATAATCTCAACCAAAAAAGCTGTAAAATATTCAAAAGAAATCTTGCTAGATTAAATCTGAAATATATTTGGCACAGTGTGAAATTTTTTGCACAAAAAATGACAGTTGTAATTTAAATTGATAAATTGTATGAACTGATCACCTCTGATGATACGGCATAGTTTTGACTGGGCATAATTCATGAAAAAACAGTTATGCAATGCACATGGAAAATATGATTTTACTTGGTCTTTATTCCGTGTTATGTATAACGCGGTTGTCTGATAACGCGGCGTTATTGAGAGGGATGCCTGTATCGAGTTTGTCCGCAGACCTGGCACCAGTTTCACAAAGTGATCATAGCTTTAAGTTATTCGTAAGTCTCAGTTAGAGCTTTGGAATTAACTTATTCGTATTGCTACAACTGCTTTGTGAAATGCGTTCCAGGTCCTGGGAGGAAAACGTAAATATGGAATGGGGTGATTGTTAAATAAATCAAACAAAATAAAATAAATAAAATGTTTTGAGTTGAGGTCTGTAAGAGAAACAAGGCTGTCTCTCCTCCTCCAAAGCATACACACAACATGTGTCGCCATGCATGTACAACCGTATGCATGCATGCACATGTTCTGCGATTGTGTGTGCTTTAGTAATCCCACCTGTCCCCTCAACCAGGTTGACAATACGTATATCCATCTCCCCTCTTCCGTGAAAGGCTCGTAGGCAATTTCTTTTGCAAAACTATTCAGCCAGCCACCAGTCATTGTGTTCAATAACTTTTATCGTGTTCATGATTGATTAGTGGACTCTCTGCAATTGACTAATTATCGATCAAGTTTATAGTCTTGTTACTATTTTGTCACCAAACGAACATAAACTGTCTTGACAAACAATTAAAAGGTGGCGTTCATATTACGCACTTTCATCTCCGTCTGAACCCAGCTCAATCCTAAGACATCCCTATTAATCGATCGCGGAGTTGTAGCGACCAGACATTGATTAGATCAATCAATCAGACGAGCACTACTCTCCAAATTAGCTGACTTTGGTCACAGTTCTGGGATATGAAACCGGAGATGTTTGTGATGAAGGAGCGAGCTGGGTTTACGTCCTTTATCTAAGTTGTCGGAAAAACGATATTTTGCCAAAGCTTTGGCCCTCTTGGTGCCTGTATCAGAGATATGAAATGAAATGAAATGAATGTTATGAACAATCTGTGATTCAATTTTTTAAGAAAAAAAACAGTGCTCATGACAGGATTTTAAAAAATTTGATTAAAATTACTGAAGGTATACTCTTCAGATGTAATAGAACACCCATACTTTTCATGTGATTTACAGTCAATGCAATAACAGGTGAAAGTCATGTAAAACAATATGGTTCTGTAACATATTTTGAGTGGAATATATTGAAGTTCCAGGGTAATCCTTTAAGTTGGTGGAACAGCTGAAGTGATAGAGTTTGTAGGCCTTCACCACGTTGGGTCAAACCGATGGTTATATCTACAAATTTGAAGTATATGTACTAATTTGCTGTATGTCTACAAGTTTGCTGTATGAAGAAAAGTGAACACTGTTTTTATCAAGGTCAGATGGTGTGTGTATGCCATTGCTCATCTTGGGGATTTTCACATTTTTTTAACTTAGGTTTCTTACAATATGAACAATACTTGGATACGGCAGTTGCAATTATACTTCTGCATTTCTGATGAATCAGCGTAACTGTCGTACTTTAGCATTTCTGAAGATATCAGTACACCTCTTTTACCTTAGCATTTCAGATGTCAGAACACCTCTTTTACCTTAGCATTTCAGATGTCAGTACAGCTGTTTTACTTTAGCATTTTAGATGTCAGAACACCTCTTTTACTTTAGCATTTCAGATGTCAGAACACCTCTTTTACTTTAGCATTTCAGATGTCAGAACACCTCTTTTACTTTAGCATTTCAGATGTCAGTACAGCTGTTTTACTTTAGCATTTCAGATGTCAGAACACCTCTTTTACTTTAGCATTTCAGATGTCAGAACACCTCTTTTACTTTAGCATTTCAGATGTCAGTACAGCTCTTTTACTTTAGTAAGCATTTCAGATGGCAGTACACCTCTTTTACTTTAGCATTTCAGATGTCAGTACAGCTGTTTTACTTTAGCATTTCAGATGTCAGAACACCTCTTTTACTTTAGCATTTCAGATGTCAGACACTCTTTTACTTTAGCATTTCAGATGTCAGTTTACTTTAGCATTTCAGATGTCAGTACACCCTCTTTTACTTTCAGAGCATTTCAGATGTCAGTACACCTGTTTTACTTTAGCATTTCAGATGTCAGAACACCTCTTTTACTTTCAGAGCATTTTACTCTTAGATGTCAGAACACCTCTTTTACTTTAGCATTTCAGATGTCAGTACACTGTTTTTCAGTTCACCTCTTTTACTTTAGCATTTCAGATGTCAGAACAGCTTTTACTTTAGCATTTCAGATGTCAGAACACCTCTTTTACTTTAGCATTTCAGATGTCAGTACAGCTGTTATACTTTAGCATTTTAGATGTCAGAACACCTCTTTTACTTTAGCATTTCAGATGTCAGTACAGCTGTTATACTTTAGCATTTTAGAAGATATCAGTACAGCTGTTTTACTTTAGCATTCATAAGATATCAGTATAAATGTTACTCTTCTGTTTCAGGCATCAGTCGGACACAGCTGGTTGTGATATCCACATGCTCTGCCATTATTGGCACCTTCTTCCTAATTGCAGGCATCCTGCGAGTGAGGTACGTAGCAAAACATTAACCCAGATCCACTGTTAATCAAATTGCTTCTATGGCTCTCCATGGGACTCTGAAAGGTTCATTTGCCTGATGGTAACCAACTGTATTTTCAGTAAACCCCTACCAGGAGGTTGTGCAATTTTTTTGTCACAAGCAGTCATGTTGGTGCCTTGCTTTATCTGGATTAAGAGGGGGGTCATCGACAAAGCAGAGAATAAAACATTTATAGGTTTTCATAAAAGATGTCTATTTCATACCATGAGCAAATACATGGGCATATACATTTGCATATATACTGGAATATGCATGGGTATAATCATTGGCATATACTAAATCATATATATTGGTATATACATGGTTGTATACATGGGCATATACATTGGCATATATACTGGAATATGCATGGGTATAATCATGGGCATATACTAAATCATATATATTGGTATATACATGGTTGTATACATGGGCATATACATTGGCATATACACTGGAATATGCATGGGTATAATCATGGGCATATACTAAATCATATATATTGGTATATACATATGGATGTATACGTGGGCATATACTAAATCATATACATTGGCAGATAGATGGGGCGTATACATTGCGTATAGACTGGCATATAAAAATCAACATCAGATACAAACTACAGTTCTGTTAATACAGTGTTACCATGAGACCCAAGTCTTCAAGTTCAAATGTAAAACCTCAAACAGGTCTTACAATTCAGAAATGCATGTGAGCAGGTCTGTTTGAAAGTTGAACCTCTTCCATGCTTACTATGAGATGGCAAAATATCTTCAGGCAAAAGTGGCTCACAGTGTTAAAGGGTAGATCCTGTGCTTTAAGTGACAACTTAGCAGCTGTGTGGTCACACATGTTGACCCTGACAATCTTGTCACATTGTGATTCTTCACAGGTCACTGGGGATATTGGAATATTGCTGTCTTCTGTTTAACAACAAACAAAGGATAGTCATGGCAAATATATTTGATATACTCTCGCATTGGTCTTGATGCCTGTTACAATAATGTATTGATTGAAAAGGTAGGTGAGAAAGCAAATGAAGGTTTAGTTCATTTCAGTGATATTTGAACGTTACCACTGACAGCATACCTGTGAAGATCCGGGGTAGAATAGGTCTTCAGCAACCCATGCTTGCCACAAAAGGCGACTATGCATGTCATAAGAGGCGACTAACGGGATCGGGTAGTCAGGCTCGCTGACTTGGTTGACACATGTCATCGGTTCCCAATTGCGCAGATCGATGTTCATGATTTTGATCACTGGATTGTCTGGTCCAGACTCGATTATTTACAGACGGACGCCATATAGGTGGAATATTGCTGAGTGCGGCGTAAAACTAAACTCACTCACTCACCCACTGACAGCAGGATTAACTAGAAATTGGTTGGAGCTGTCTTCAGTATCTGGATACCTTTTCCACTCTACTGCCTGCCTGGAACCATGAAGATCTGGGTTAGAATTGATCTTCAGCAACCCATGCTTGTCACAACAAGCAAACAAACAAACAAACAAACAAAACCCCTTAGTCCCTTAATAGACCCACAAAGGCAGGAGGATTGCATTTTTAACAAGATATTTTTTCCACAACAGTTCCCAAAAAGCTATTTCCTTTGAATGGAAAAGCTGAACAGTTTTTGTCACATCTTGTTTTCAAGCACAACTAGAATGTCAAGAGATTAGTTCCTCTCTCAACTAAACCTCAGGTATGAAAACATATTTGAGCCACACTGAAAAATAGTGACACTAATACGTCTCTGTAGTCTGGATAGATTGTTTTATTGCTTTTCTTTCTGGAATAGAATCATTTTTTTTCTTTTAAAAAAAAATTCAAATTAACCTTCAAAGTAAAATGTTAGGTGATGAAGCACTTTGTATTTGAATGATGCCCAAACAAACGCGGCCCTGTGATCAAGATCCCCTTCAGATTCCGTGGAGCCATCTTGAAATTTCTATCACATACTACCACTGTGCTTTTAAAGTTCGGAAGAAATAAATCGCCATCTGCAGGTCTTGTTAACAAGGAGGTTGTTCCGTGATGATCCCATCTTGACATTACCTAGAATTTAGTTTTTTCATACTGGTGATTATTTTCTTTGATGAAAAATTGTTTCGCCTTAGCTCCTGCCCTCTTGGTGCCAGCAGAGACATCTTGATCAAGGTTCTTTAAAGTTCATAACAACTTCTGTTTCGAATTTTTTAATGAGAATTTGTTAAAAGATTATGATGTATCATTAAAATTTCAGTGCCTAATTACGATACATTGATGGAATATGCTGCTCCAAAAAGTTAAAGATCACCTCATGCTTTCTTATTACTTCGGGGTGATGGGGTACCCTCGTGGTTAAAGTGTTTGCTTGTCACGCCGAAGACCCGGGTTCGATTCTCCACATGGGTACTATGTGTGAAGCCCATTTCTGCTGTGCCCATGATATTGCTGGAATATTGCTTAAAGTAGTGTAAAAGCATACTCACTCACTCGATCGCTCACTCTTCAGCTAATCTGTCACTTGTGTCTGCGAATGCAATTATATCTATTGGTTCCTGTCATTTCTATAACAGTAATGATGCAATATTGCGGACATTGTAATTTTAAGAATGGGGTTTTCCTTAACTTCTTTTAAGTACTACTAGTATATCATATGTATTTCTTTTATTTCACATGTCCTCATGGTTTAAATATATAGTTCAGGACAAAATTTTGCTCTATCTGGGTGAGTGAGTGAGTACAGTTTTATGTCACTTTTAGCAATATTCCAGCAACATCACAGTTGGTAACACCAGAAATGGGCTTCACACATTGTACCCATGTGGAGAATCGAACCCAGGTCATCAACATGACGAGCCAATGCTTTAACCATTAGGCTGCCTGCCACCCCTCTACACTTGGGGGAAGAGCTAATTGTATTTCTTTATTTCATCTGATGAGTGTTGAAATATTTAGCTTTTACTTAATACTTTCCTGGATCATAGTTTTATGCTAATGTTAGAATGAAAAAGATATCAATCCTTATTATTGTGATATATGAAGCTGATGTAGCAATTCAACATTTCAAATTAAAGTAAATCTGTTTGAAATATTATCTACATCAAAGGAGGTATATAAGTACAGATTATTTGTGGAGAGCATTTGTGCTTTAAATAGCACATGTTGTCATAAAATATTGTATTATATGAGCTTGTTTGATTCATAATGCGTAGATGTTATTTCTAACATTTGATATTTACTGAAAGGAAAACACAAACACAATATCTTTATCATGTTATTCTGAACAAACTGGGGGTGGTGATGTAGCCTAGTGCTTAAAAGAATTCACTCGTCACGCCAAAGACCCAGGTTTGATTCCCCACATGGGTATAATGTGTGAAGCCCATTTCTGGTGTCCCCCGCCCTGATATTGCTGGAATATTGTTATAAGTGGGGTAAAACTAAACTCACTCACTCACTCACTCACTGAACAACCTGATCTTAAAGTTTTGTTTTCACACAAAGAATTAACCTTTGAAACCATGTATGAATACAGTGTTTGAGTGAATCGCCCTACTTGTCATATAGTGCCAAATTGTTTGCAGCCATTGTTGTCTCTTAGAAACACTAACAGATTGGGAAACCCATACCTTGATGTACTGGTCTAGTGTGAGTGAGCGAGTTTAGTTTTATGCCCTTTCAGCAATATTCCAGAAATGGGCTTCTCACATTATACCTATGTAGGGAATCAAACCCTGTCTTTGGCATGACCAGTGAACGCTTAAACCTCTAGGCTACCCCATCCCAGATGTATTGGGTTGTTTGGGATTGGGAATCATTCAAGCATTGAGATTAGGCAGATATTTTATTGATGTTAAGGGGTTGAAAGTAGTTCCTACACAGCGACTTCATTTGTATGTGTTTGGGATCCTTGTACTAAGTTTATCACGTCTTGTTAGGTATTGATTTGAAACGACTTGAATCAATTGGAACCAATGAAACCAGAAATCTGTACACAAAGAAATTGATGTAAGAAAGCGACAATTGTATTCTAAAATGTACTAGGCTCATAAATCAATACACATTACTCCAGAGGAATTATAGTTCTTGTTCAAACTCAATGGCAATATAAAACAGAAATAGAAATGGTAATGAAGTCATTGATACACAGCAACATCAGTAGCTTCAAGAACAGGTATAGGCTGGGCATTGAAGTTGGACTGACTGACTGAGTTTGGTTTTACGCCGATTTTAGCAACTTTCCAGCAATATCACAGCGGGGGACACCAGAAATGGACTTCACTCATTGTACCCATGTGGGGATTCGAACCCGGGCCTTCGGTGGGACGAGCCATCGCTTTAACCACTAGACTACCCCACCGCCCCTAGTGAAGTTGGAAAAAAACATCTTCACAGACTGCTTGTCTCAACACAATATACAGGAATGAGTTTTTTATGGACAGACAACTTCTTTATTGCATGGATGCGACGTTTCAGTGTAGATATTTACTAGTTTGATAATGGTGTTAGCATCTACACCAAAACGTCGCATCCATTGCACTAAAGAAGTTGTCTATCCATAAAAAACTCATTCCTGTTCGTCATACCAGCTTCTAAATGTCACTTATATAGCTGAAATAACCCCTGGAAGGTTCTGTCCCATGGTGGATTAATCTATGGTGTTCTATAAGCTTCCTGAATACTCAAGATTCACAGTCTAAATATACTGAACAGCAAAAGAAACACAAATGTGGCTTTTTGTCACTTTACCATGAACGTTCCATCAACATGAATGCTTCCTTTTATGAGATTTCATTTTTTCAAAACTTGCGTTTCTTTTGCTGTTCTGTATATAATACAGAGCACATCCCAGCCCTCTACTGAATCTTAACAGAAACAATGTGTTACAATAACAACACTGTTCTACAAGAATAACACTGCTAAATAACAGTCTATACCATAGGCGGATCCAGAGGGGGGGTGCAGGGGTGCGCACCCCCCCTTTTGTCCTGAAAGTTTATTAAATGACCATTGAAACTCGGGTGAAAATGAAGTGTGCACCCTCCCTTTTCTCAATAGTGTGCACCCCCCCTTTCTTAAAAAGCTGTATCCGCCCCTGGTCTATACCCTTACCTAGTATATGATAACAGCAAAACCTTTTCCACCCAAACTATGAATCTCTCCAAACAGCAGGGCCAATTGTACAATTTCAGGATCGTGTTTATAGTTTTATCCAAATAGTGGCACCAATTGTAATCACAGGAAAAGTAAAGTCACATGTTTACTTGGCAAAAAATTAGGAATATATGGAACATGTCAAATTTGGGAATTGCATTGGACACCATTTTTGTCACAGATTTTCTTCACGTCTGCCATAAAAACTTTTGAAAGCTGTACTGAAGTCTTGAATGTTCTTCCCTTGATTGAACAACTTTTGAGCAAGAGAAGTATGATGCTCTTTGAAATCTTAGCAAAAAGAGCTTGCTCGATTGTCCATCAAATGTCATGAAATGTAAACAACAAAGGCTCTAGCTGATGGATAATTGCTCAACATGAAGGGACAGTTGTCTTTTGGAAGTTTGAAATAGTCCCTCTTGTCATACAGCCTTGAGATTTTTTTGTCACTTTGAATTCATCGCCATTTTCAGGAACTACTACAAGCGGTACCGCCAGCAACAGAGACAGGCAAGTCGACCAACATTCCGTAGCTGTAGTGTTGCCTTGCGTAACTCAACCCCTTCCAACGAGCAGATCCACCGGGATTCCCTCCTCAGTAAATCCAGCTCAATCCAGGTGGGTCGACCTAGGTAGTTCTAGTGCTGGTCATCGAGGTCACCCCAGCCTGGAATACCCCGGTCACGTGAGTGTGGGAGTGAGTTGGGTTCAGCACTGCCGGAAACAGTGTATCAGTTGTTGAGGCATATCAGCTTAAATATTGGCCAAAGAGTGCTCAGGTCTTTGCAAAGTTGGGTCTAACACTGCCCGAAACAGTATATCAGTTGTTGAGGCATATCAGCTTGAATATTGGCCAAAGAGTGTTTAGGTCTTTAAAAAGTTGGGTCTAACATTGCCAAAACAGTATATCAGTTTTTGAGGCATATCAGCTTGAATATTGGCCAAAGAGTGCTCAGGTCTTTGAAGAGTTGGGTTTTACACTGTCCTGAACAGAGTGTCAGCTTAACTATTGGCCAAAGAGTGTTTAGGTCTTTAAAAAGTTGGGTCTAACACTGCCTGAAACAGTATATCAGTTGTTGAGGCATATCAGCTTGAATATTGGCCAAAGAGTGCTCAGGTCTTTGAAATGTTGGGTCTAACACTGCCCGAAACAGTATATCAGTTGTTGAGGCATATCAGCTTGAATATTGGCCAAAGAGTGCTCAGGTCTTTGAAATGTTGGGTCTAACACTGCCCGAAACAGTATATCAGTTGTTGAGGCATATCAGCTTGAATATTGGCCAAAGAGTGCTCAGGTCTTTGAAATGTTGGGTCTAACACTGCCCGAAACAGTATATCAGTTGTTGAGGCATATCAGCTTAAATATTCTCCAAAGAGTGCTCAGGTCTTTGAAGAGTTGGGTTTTACACTGTCCTGAACAGAGTGTCAGCTTAACTATTGGCCAAAGAGCACTCAGGTCTTTGAAGAGTTGGGTTTTACACTGCCCTTAATGGTTACACATCAACCACCTAGTAGAGATAAATTTAACACTGCCCTGAACAGTATGTCAGCTTGAATATGTTGATAAGATCAAAGAGTGCTCAGGTCACAGAGTGAGTGACTTGGATTTAACACTGCCCTGAACAGATTCTGTTATCATGTCAGCTTGAATATTGGCAATAAGGCCTCAGCCAACAGTTAAAAAATCTTAACCAGGTTTTTGAAACTATTCCAATAAACCAGGATGCTGAAACATGTGTTAAAGAGCAAAGATTATAGTCTAAATTTGCAAATCTTGGAATCGAACCAGCAACTCACTGATATTGGCATTGTGGGTGGCATTTTGGAACAGGTTAATTCTTTCCTTATTCAAAAGTCATCATGAGGAGTGTTCTTCTGCCATAGAGACCCTGAAACAAATATATATATGACAGCATATACAAGTTTGTAACATTCGACAAGTCTAGACGACTGCAGTTTAAATACTTTAACTCACTCTCTCCATATTCTAACATTGAATTATGACAGTCATAGCTCTGAGATCGTTTTGTGAAACAGACCTTTGGTACTGGTTTTCAGCTGCCATTTTTACCACCCTAATTTGTGACCATGAAGATCCGGGTTAAAATTGATCTTCAGTAACCCATGCTTGTCGTAAGAGGTGACTAACGGAATCGGTTGGTCAGGCTCGCTGACTTGGTTGAAACATGTATATAGACCATTTTATAATATTCTATCAAGATAATTTATGAACAGGCTTTTTCTGTAAAATATGTTCATTTCAGAAGCCAGATGTCATCCTCTGAGTAGTAGATACAGGAGGTAAAACCTTCAACCCACTGGTATTGGCAGTGAAGTCATTATGCAACAAGAAACACCTTCAGTCCGTTTGAGACAAAATGATACCGATGACTTGCAATAGAACACAAAAACAAATAGACATAAAAGAATAAAACCAACGCAGACTGCAATAAAATAACAGACCAACTCCAGAAAGAAACTGCATAATTTTTGTCACAAAAATAAAAAAGTTGTTTAAGAAACGTGCCCCAGCTGCACAGGCAGTGCACTGTATGTACTTAGTAATTGCATACTTGGGTCACCCCCTGTCATTTTCATCCTTGAAGAAATCACGGACTTTGTAAATTATAGACTTTCATTTTCTCTCACTTTGTCAATCAGCAGTAATCACATGTCTCTGACGTCACTAATGCACGTGCATCTCGCTTTTCGCGCTGTTCCTTTAGTTGCCAATGCGCCCTTCTAACAAACTTGGAAAACTTACAAATAAATGATGATAGTTTCAACTTAAACAACTTTTTTATTTTTGTAACAAAAATTATGCAATTTTTTTCTAGAGTTGGTCTGTTGTTTTTATTGCAATCCGCGTTGGTTTGATTCATTTATGTCTGTTTGTTTTTGTGTTCGATTGCAATTCATTGGTATCATTTTGTCTCAAACAGACTGTGATTGAATTAGCACCCATCTCCTGTCCTGCTGGTTTCAGTCATGAAAGAACAGTGTAATTTGAACGGATGGCTTATCTGGAATCGGTTCATTCAATCCTGAATCAAAAGTCATAGTGGATCATGGCTTTTTTCACTGAAACATTACACCCTGAGTTAATCATGAATGATTCGACTTGGAATCCCAAGGTGAAGGTCTTACAACCTTTATGCTTTTCTTTGTTTTCACAGAGCAACTTCACAGGCAGAGGCACAGGTACCCAGTATCCTGCCAGCCAGTCATCTCATGATAATTCCAGAAATAATTCTCCAAAAGCTTATGCTGATAAAACTCCATTGCTTGTGGTGACATCCCCATCTGATACAACTAACGCCTCTACACCGACGGTGTCCCAAGCATCGCTGCAGAGTCCTGAAGACCAACCTTCAAAGAGAAAGGTACAGGTCATGTAACTCCCAGATCATCAGCGATGTTGTAGACGCAGTAGATGTAGTTGTTCCTGACTGTTGTAGTTGATTGGAGCACATATTGTTTATATTGTCATTGAAACTAATATTTTGGGGGTTGGATATAACAGTAAATGTTCACAGTAAATTTGTTTTTTTCTCTGAGAAACTAGATTATGTCTGAATTAAATAATCAGGAATAACTTCATAAGAGGCTAAGGTGGTCCTGTTAACTGAGGTAGAGTCACTGAGTCCATTCCACAAAGCAATTTAGCACTAGGTTAGAATTCTTTAATGGGTCCTTGGGCGGTGGGGTAGCCTAGTGGTTAAAGCGTTCGCTTGTCACGCCAAAGACCCGGGGTCGTTTCCCTACATGGGCACAATGTGTGAAGCTCATTTGTGGTGTCCCCCGCCATGATATTGCTGGGATATTGCTAAAAGCGGCCTAAAAGCATACTCACTCACTTTAATGGGTCCTTAGTTAAGTTTTACTGGCAAATGTCTTGTGACTGGTGAGTTGTTCATTCTGAAGTCAGTTATGTTCAAGTTGTGTTTTGTAAATAATTTAATCTGGACCTAGCTATAGGACAAATGTAACTCCAATATATTAATATTAACTTGTCCAAGCTACTGGACCAGCATAACTTCCATAAGCAAAAAGGATGGTAGGGTAACCTAGTGCTTAAAGCATTTCCATGTCTCACCAAAGACCCAGGTTCGTTACCCCATATGGGCACAATGTGTTTGGCCATATCTTGTGCCCGCGGGCGATGGGGTAGCCTAGTGGTTAAAGCGTTGGCATGTCACGTGGAAGACCCGGGTTAGAATCCCCACATGGGTACAATGTGTGAAGCCCATTTCTGGTGTCTCCCACCATGATATTGCTGAAATATTGCTAAAAGCTGCGTAAAACCAAATTCAGTCAGTCAGTCTTGTGCCCACATCTTGGTATTGCTGGTATATTGCTTCAAGAGGCATAAAACATGACTCACCCACCCTCTCTATACTCTGACATTGAATTATGAAAGTCTCAGCTCTGAGATCGTTTTGTGAAACAGACCTTGGGTACTGGTTTTCAGCTGCCACTTTTACCACCCAATCTTCTTATCTAGCCGGAGTCTATAAACCTGATGTACTGATGATATATCATGAATGGCATCCCATTTCCCAAGGAACTTAGAACTGGATACCAACAAAAATATTTTTTCCAAAACTTTAAGTGTTCATTTCCATGAGATAAAGCCGGGCTGAAAGTATGAGACTGTTTCCCGTTAAGAACTGATTCCGTTAGAGACCGGCCTGCAAATGTCGAGAGATTAATCTCTGATTTTCATATCGATAATTCGATTTCGATCCCCATTACACAGTCTGCAACATAAACAGTATTATGTTGCCTCTTCCCTCTGCTTATCAGACGAGGGTCAAGTACACACCTATAGCTCCAAATTTGACAGACACAGGCTGAATTAGGAAGTCTGACGTCTCAGATGAGCCTCTAGACATCTGATTCAAGCAGAACAGGATTCAAAATGACAGAATTACGTCTGCTCGGAATGCAAGGCGGGAATTTCCTTGCTGGGGCTTTCAAGAGATTTTACGAGAGCTTCAGCAATTATTATTTGCTGTCAACACACAGGAAATACTGAAATTGACTTCACAATGTGTCCGCGTGGGTGATAAAATTCTGGGGTTCAGTGTGAAAAGCAGTTATTATCATGATCTAGTTGAAAGGTAATTTTATGGCCGTGTTATGGCCATGAATATTCGCAAAGCTCCAAAATGTCATAGCGCATATCTTACGCCAAGACCAGTTTCAGTATTCGCAGACAATTTTATGTTGTTATTGAAGTTTTTCTGATTTGCTTCACTGAACAATTTTGTAAATAGAAGTTTTCAATTTAAATTACTTAATTAATCACGAAGAATAAGATTTTTTTTTTCATTCTTAAACAATTATCAGACATTTGTAATTTGAAATAATTCACGTTAATCATAAGCAACATGATATAGAAATATTGGTTTCAATGACAATGACATTTATAGTCGTGTAGATGTTTGTAGTTGTGGATTTCAATAACATTATTTATGTGATATTGTCTGATATGTTTAAATACATATTAATACCAAGCATATTAATACCCACGGTGGAGACTTGAGATACAATTTCACACTTTAAGATTGAATTAAATTCAAGAATTCCTCCAATTTGATGTTTTTCCATCCAAAGTTATAAGACAATATGTTACATTGTTATCATATGTCATATTTTATCATAAGAACTGAAGGAATATTGGGTTTGTACATTTCTAATATTATTCTTCATATCTGTTCACATATATATTTGCGTATATTCATTCAATCCATATGTTTGTAGGCGCATTGTTCTTGCAATGCACAACAGGTAACATCAAATTCTGGTCATTTAGTACCAGTTTGAGATTGGTTTGTCGTTTTAACAAAGATATTATCTAAATTAGGTCATTTTGTTTGACAATTTTATCATGTGTGTTGCTTCGATAGTTGACATGGTTGTTGCAATACGATGCGTGACTTGCCCAGAAATTAGCACTTAGCATTGGAGATAATCATCGAGTCACACTAAACGGCCAGAAGACGTTATGAATCACATGGTCTTGAAATATAAAATAATCCATTTCGGCGCACGTCATCCTCACCACTCCCTGAAAATACGTATCCACTGGAACAGACAATAATAACGAGCGAGTTAGTGAGTGAGTTTGGTTTCACGCCGCACTCGGCAATATTCCAGCTATATGGCGGCGCTCGGTAAATATCCAGTGATCAACAGCATGAGCATCGATCTACGCAGTTGGGATATGATGACATGTGTCAACCAAGTCGGCGAGCCTGACCACCCGATCCCGTAGGTCGCCTCTTACGACAATCATGGGTTACTAAAGATGAATTCTAACCCGGATTTTCACGGGTACACTGTGTTGTTCTGTTTCACATATCAAGCACCTTACTAGACATTTGTGAAAATGGCCGCCTGATGGCTATCTTTGAGGTGTCCGTGGAGGAGCAGAGCCTAGAACGTTACCGAAACTCCAGCAGTAATATGTTTTACACCTCTAAAAAGCCGTGATTTAGGGTTGTTACCTTGAAATACTTTCCCCGTTGAAGACGTCAGAAGATAACGCCGAACGCGGGTGCCTGGAAAAGAAAACATTCACAACTTAATATGTATTTTGATATAAAGGTCCATTTTACAGAGTCGTATCTTGTATTGCATTTCTGTCGAGACATCTGTTTTTGTTTGCAAAGTGGCATTTCACATCGAAATACAAAACCGAAATCGGTATACAATAACACGTCTTGTCACGGTAATACGTATTTGGCCTCCTTTCTACGTATTTGCATAATATGGTGTTGTGTTCTAATACCAGTCTTTCATTGGGTATTTGAAACATTAGTCAGATTGGTTCGGTGCCGTGTGGATGAATTTCAAAACCAAAACATGGACATTTTGGAATAAGGCGTGGTGCTTAACTTTTCATCTCAGAGTATATACTGGTATTTCACTGATGACGTTATTGCAGGAAAAATACCCATCTTATAACCTTTAATTACCCCACAGGCAGTTTGGGTGTATGATCCTCGGGGAGCTGAAACCGGAATTAAGATTTACACTGACCCATTGAACTGGGGTATTATGTGTTTTGAGTTTGATAATCGACTTGGAAAAAGCGACATAAAATGGACTGTATTTACTGTACAATGAACCCGTGTGCGATCGTGGGTACACCGGAAGCACTCGTAAAATCCCCCTCAATCATCTTCATCATTATCAAGCATGTCTGGTCCAGACTCGATTATTCACAGACCGCTGCCATATAGCTGGATGTTGCAGTGTTAAACAACCAACCAACCAACGAATCATAATCAAACTCACGAAATTAGACAATTATCTTTGTGGACTATTTCCGTATTTCTGCAACCATTGTTGACTTGCTTGATAAGTGTGTATAAACTTGACATACGTGTTTATTTGTTTATTATCTTATTGACAGGTTTTGATATGCAACAAGAGACGGAGACCTTGATATTCCTTTCAGCTTTAGAACCCTTCTTGAAATGTATTTTCAGTTAAGTCACATCTACTGTTTTGTTCGGTTTGTGCACAACATTTTGTTGAGTTGAGTTCGATGTTTTACTGGAGTGTTTTCACTATATATTTTTTCGTTTTGAATATTTACAAAGTAGCACGAAAATATTTAAGCTTCGAATAAATAAATATTTCTCTGAAACAGTTGGTGTTCAATGTGTGGAATGAAATAAAACGGCCATATGCCAGTATCACCATTTTGACCATAGCAATGACTTTGTCAGTCATTTATGACAATCTTATTCGGTTTCACCTTCAACAGTTTCAATTAATTGAGAAATTTCCGGTGAAAACACTCCAAAGAATCTTGCAGTTTGATATTGCAGTGTTGTACATTGTGTTGTAAAACTCTAAGATCATGTTGATACTGTTTTGTAATATCAAATAGATTTTAATACTAAAACGCTTGTTCACATAATGTGTTTATTGTCATGTATCATTACACAAGTGTAAAATCTATAATTAAGGTGTTCAACACAACGTAGAGTTTAATAGACTAACATTTTATTGTTTGATCATTTTGCGCCTCCACCAAACTAACACATCTTTATAATGTGTTGTGATAAATGTTTCAGAATATGAAAACACCCATTACCAACGAAGATGACAAGGAGAACAGTCCCCTATTGGTGAACAGTGACGACAATCACATTGACATTGGACAAATATCCGATGAAGGATATATTGAAACAATACTGAATAACAAAGGCCCAATAGACAAACAAACACCAATGGTAAATGGTGACAGTGAAAGACCCAAAGATGTCCCTGTAAATGATTCTTGTCCAAATGTTAAAGAAGTTAGTAACGCACCCAACACCGAAAGGGAGATAACTCGTGACGGCCTCGTCAACAATGCACCTAAATCATCAACTTCCGATGGACAGACAGGGCCTGTCCAATCACCTGAACTTTCCCCAGGAACCAATGAAGCCACTATGCTTATCCCATTAGATCCAACCACCAATGAAAATGCTGGATTTGAAGCATCCAACTTTGGTTTGACCCAATCAGATTCCAGTTTGTCATCATCCAATCCGGCATACGCTTATGGAAACCAAACCGAGTATTCCAACGGCCTCAGCCATTTCGAAGAAATTATGATTCACGGACAGGTTTTCAATGATACCTCTCACAGAAATCCCCGTTTGAATCCCGTTCAAATGCCATCCCTTCGCAGTTTTTCAGAAAATTCATTTGATTACGGAAGTGGCGTGAACACTAACAGAGTAGCGGCATCAGCGGGCGCCCAAGCGGCTTCGTCAAGGGGAGATCACCCTGCTACCATGATGAGAAGCATGTCGCTAGCAGACGCCTCACCGAAGGGAAGGAAGGAAAGACGACTGATGAAAACTAACTCCGTCGTTGGAGAAGTCGCATCGGATCTTCCAGTCCACGGACACCTAAGTGGCCCCATACCTTCAGAACAATCGGAAAACTGTGTTTCTCCAGCCCCTGCTCAACAGAAAATGTCGGCTCAAGCAAAGCGTGAGCTATTTGGTTGTGGACAAGACACAAATATTCAATCGAGTGGTGAATTATCTCGAGAAACATCAACCGAGGTCACTCCGCCAGCCACCATCACCAAACTCTTGTCAGAGGAGAAAACAACGTTTTTGTGACATTATTTTTCTATTCTTCGTCATTTGTTACTGTTTTCATGGTTTTAGAGAATGTCTTGAGAGATGAGGATGAGATACGTTAGTGGGAATTCTTCTCAAGGGTGAACCGTAGATTGCTGTATATACTTTCGCAGAGAATCGTTATTTGAAATCTCAGTGTGAATCAGGATTGTGGGTTTTACATTACTTATCATCTGTGTAGGTTGTGATAGAGGAAGAAAAGCAGACCGAATGTAACGTGACAAGGTTCGCCAGATCGTCTTTGACGAGTTGCCTCCCTTTGGCGTGCCAGGCACCGAGTATCGTGGGTTCAAAGCCCAGATCTATCCTGATGATGTTTCTTGGTTTGTCAGTACCATACTCGTCGTTAATGAAATACTGTTGAAGTGGGAAAGCAACAACTCACTCATTCACTAACGGGATCGGGTGGTCAGGCTTGCTGACGTGGTTCACACATGTCATCGTATCCCAAGTGCGTAGATGAGTGTTCATGCTGTTGATCACTGGATTGTCTGGTCCAGACTCGATCATTTACCGACCGCCGCCATAAAGCTGGAATATTGCTGAGTACGGCGTGAAATGAATCTATCTATCTATCTATCTATCTATCTATCTATCTATCTGTGGGATGTGTGACTGGGATAGGGTGATTCAATCAAAACAAGAATGCTGAGTGGATAGAATAGAACAGGGCACGAAAACAAATGAGTGGTGAAGTGTTTACGCTGCTTTCGGATGTGTTCAGTAACATCATGAAGCGTCAGTTTGATCCGGTGGCAAAGATCCCAGTGATCCCAGTTCTTAAACGTTAACAGTGGGTGAGTTTAGTTTTACACCGCTTTTAGCAATATTCCAGCAATATCACGGTGGGGAGACACCAGAACAGGACTTCACACATTGTACCCATTTGGCGAATCGAACCCTTGTCTTCGGCGTGACGAGCGAACGCTTTAACCACAGGGCTACCCCACCGCCACCTTAAACGTTAACAATTTCGAAAAGGAGGCACGAGTATGATGTTGACAAACCAATGTTCACTGATCGACACAACAAAGTACACATTTAAGCCATTACTATATTTCGACTCACGTTTCAATTTCTGTTAGAGCAGTCTCGCGGCAGTTATGAGTTACGGGGTCAAGGAGGCCAATAATGGCTGTGATATCGCTGGTACCGCGTTATGCAATATTCACGAACCATTTTAGAGAATAGTTTTGCGTCTTGATTTGAGGAGTGGTTACAATGCGTAATAGTTCGTGTACCTTAGGCCATGCATAAAAATATTCTTGTTTCCACTACCGCTTAGCCCAAAACTTCGACCCGACCCTGAGATTTTTATATATTTTTTTTCTCTAAAGAACATGCAACTTTGATTCTCAAAATGTGCATGATTTTTTTGCACTTCTAAGTTTTGATTTTCTATCGGAGAAAAGGTGTAAATTTCCACAGACATCAAGAGGTTTACGACATAAAATAAAATGTAAAAATAAAATCTGCCCGCCCGACCGATATTTTTTTTTTAAAAAGTGATGAGAATATAGAATATTGTATGTGTGGCCTTAGAGAATAGTTTTGCGTCGTGAATTGAGGAGTTGTAACTATGCTTAACGGTTCGTTTATGTGAATTCGTTATATCGCCATGACAGAAATTAACGCAAACTGGCTCACAAACTGTCAACATACGTATCATTCGTGACCAACTCGTGTTATTCCGGGACCAGCTTGCATGGAGGTTACGGAAAGGGACGAGTGGTGACGAATCGATACGTATCTGCTACCAAGTCACGTGACCAGAGTGATAAAGGTCATGTGACTAAAGTGACAGACGCATATTTCCATTGTTTGAGAGAAACCAAATGTTTTGCTTTTATGGGAATGTTACATGCCAGGGTGAACAGAGAATAGATTATGTGTGCTGTGAGTGAGAGGCAAATATGATGAAAACGATTTGCCGTATTTCCTCTGATAGGCGCCTTCGTCGTAATTGGAGACCACGGTGCCATTGCACCATTGTAAAAAGAGTTAGTAGCGGCAAGGTCATCTGTACTGCCACACCAAAGACGCTCGGCAGTTCTCGGTGTAAAGCAAGAGTGAGTGAGTTATACTTTACGTCGCTTCAGCATTATTTCCGCCATAGAGCGACGAGACCGAATATGCCTCGATCCCTTTGCTCTATGGCTGAAATAATGCCGATGCGACGTAAACTTTTAACTCACTAACTCTAGTGCTGCCGTTGCTCCACACCGAGAACTGTCAATGTTGACGTTGCTTTATGCCATGGTACCTGGCACCCGAGACCCGTTTTCATTTTTCCCAAGGAAGGGACAAGTCTTTTTTATTTTTGAATGGGGATAATTCATATACCGTTTCAATCGACCCGGTCTCCATTCTGCGTGAAATTGACATCCTTGTCAACTTGGCGTCTACTAGAGGAAATATGTTACCAAACTGAAAGTTTGTTTATGTCTTGTTTGTGGCTTTGTGACATTTTGTTTAAACTTAGATATGCGGAAACGAAGTAGAGTCACCCTTGGCACATTTATACAATAAGCCTATCCTTAAATACCTCATATTGAGGTGTCTTCCTGTTCCTGATGATTTATTTATTTCCTAATTCTGTCACTTGAAGATTTAGATAAAATAGAAGTGAATATTGGAGTGATACATGGCCATGCAAGCTGGTGACAGATCTGACATCGATGATGTGACTTGTTTCACCTTTTATGTGAAACATGTTCATTATGTCCCTGGGTACTTAATGGGGAAAATGGGACTACGCGTTTCGATAAACAGATCATTTGGAAGAGTGAGTGAGTGAGTTAGGTTTAACCTCGCATTTAGCATTTTCACAGCAATGGACACCAGAAATGGTTTCACACGTTGTATCCATGTGGTGAATCGAACCCGGGTCTTCGGCGTGACGAGCGGCCGCTTCAACCACTAGGCTACTCCACCACCCCCATTTGGAAGAGACAAGCGGAACTATTTTCAAAATGGACGAAAGGTGGAGCGGGGTTGATACGTTGTGTTCAGTATTATTGTAGTGATAAAGCGTCGTAAAATCGTTTTACAGTGCTTGCCCACTAGATACCATGCGGTAGATATCCCACTCAGGCAGAACACACTGACTGTGAGCTTCTTCTGACCATAGTCTAACCGTGAAGATCCGGGTTAGAATTGATCTTCGGTAACCCATGCTTGTCGTAAGAGGCGACTAAAGGGATCGGGTGGTCAGGCTCGCTGACTTGGTTGACACATGTCATCGAATCCCAACTGCGTAGAGCGATGCTCATGCGGTTGATCACTGGATTGTCTTGTCCAAACTCGGCTATTTACAGACCTCCGCCATGTAGCTGGAATATTGCTGAGTGTGGCGTAAAACCAAACTCACTCACTCACTGTACTTCTTGTTGGTGACAGAGGTGGGTCCCTAAGGCATGGTCATGCCAGGAATTAGAATCTCGGGTTATTTATTGATTATGTTTACAGGTCTGTATGCATCATGCCCCTCGTAGGTTTCGCAAAAGGAAGACATCTTGACCTGTCATTCCTCTCATTTTAAGCAGAAATGCATCGATTTCACTGTTCAAATCTGCACTCAAACATACACCTTTCTTGAGAAACCTCCCGGGTCTTGAGATTGCCTGATTGAAACGGATTGTTTAATGTGTGTTAAATCAGTTATTACCTCCAATTGTTGGCTGTCTCATTTGATACTCGTAGATCAAACCAGGAACATACCATTGATACCACGTTGGTAAAGAATTACATAAAGAGTGAGTGAGTATGGTTTTACACCGCTTTTAGCAATATTCCAGCAATATCTCGGCGGGGGACATGAATTACATAAAGAACATGTCGCTTGGAAAGTAGTAGCCTAAAGTAGGTATTACTGTCGATCGCCGTTGTGTCGAAGATTAGTAAATCTTTCGAGTTATCCCAGGTTTGACACAATCGTAGTGAGTGAGTGAGTGTGTACAGTTTTACGCCGCTTTTAGCAATATTCCAGCAATATCACGGCGGGGGACACCAAAAATGGGCTGTATTCTGGCTCAAAAGCATACCTTCGTTGAACATTCAGACGACTGTTCTTCATCAGAGCGCAGCTCGAAACACGACCTTACAGGCACGTGCAAAAGGTGCAGAATTATTTTGGGTCCGGGTGTGCCTCGATATAAACCCATGTTCGGTACGAACGTACGCGTTGCTGTCTTATATGTTTTTAACGGTTTATTTGTCAAAAACACTTCAAGAGCGTTGTCTCAGGAGCGTAGCAAAAATAGGCTTTGTCAGTTTTACAAGCTTGTCACTTCTAAATCCAGATTTTAAAATTCCGGCAAATCAAAAAGGGCTCTTTTGTTGTGACGCGAACACACCCAATTCCCACCCTTGCCCCTTAACAGAATCTTTCTTGCAAGAACACCATGGTTATACGCCGGTGTGAGAATAAAGTATGAATGTTACTTGTAACTTGGAAATTTGACGTTTATGATTCTCTGGCCTGATCGATGTTACCGATTTCGTTCTGTGGTCTACATTTTTAAATGTCTTTGTACATATGCAGTGAAATTGTTATTGTTGATTTGTTTGTTAATATGAAATTATTTCAATATCTTTTTGCGTTTATGGGGGTACCAAAGTAAAATCTGTGTGTACTCTTTTGGATGCAGATTTAAACAGTATGCATACAGGTCAATTCTTAAAAACGAAACAAAATCTGAAGGCACGAGGCCAGCTGTGAGCTATGTAAATCATTGCCGCATGTAAACATTGGGTCATTTTTTATGCCCAAAACTGAACAAATAAACTGACAGTGAAACAGACCAAATGGAACTTCAAATTAGTCTGTTTTGCTTTTATTTGTTTTTAAAAAACAACGTCACTGCAAATGTTGTTCGAATCCATAAAATATAAAATAATTTGTGACGAAACAATTTATGACCAGAGGCAAATATTAAACTAGTAAATTGTATGACAGTATAAAATAGGAACAAATCGAAGTGAAACCCTTTCCCTAAATACGACACTCGTCCTGTCATTACCAGAAAGTTATCGTTTCGGTAGCTTCGGCCAATGACAATTTCTGAACCTCAGAACTAACTGAAGTGTACACACGTCATAGCCAAGAAACACATTTCAGGATCTGTAAGTAAATTAGGAATTAGCATATTGCTCAGTTAGCTTTCACAAGAAACCTTTTGTACTGATAGTTTTTAATCTAGATACAACGTTATCTGTCGGAGGTTGCGGCAAGTAGGTACAGAGGTATGTGAATAGTCAGTAATCTAGTACATGTCATGTCATGTTGGTATTGCAGAGAATTCTCAATTTGCTTTGTTATTATCATTGAATAAAATCTCACACTCCTGTTGTCTGTTGTTATTTATTTATTTCTTCTTGGATATTTATGTTGAGATGTAGGTTGTTTGTTCACGTATTACCGCTGTGTAGTGGATGCCCGAAGATGGTCGAGTCTAAGGAGTAAATAAAGTTGGTTGACATCATGAGTGAGTGACTTTAGTTTTACGCCGCACTCAGCGATATTCCAGCTATATATGGCGGCGGTCTGTAAATAATTGAGTCTGGACCAGACAATCCAGTGATCAACAGCATGAGCATCGATCCACGCAATTGGGATCCGATGCCATGTGTCAACCATGTCAGCGAGCCTGACCACCTGATCCGGTTAGTCGCCTCTTACGACAAGCATGGGTTACTGAAGATCAATTCTAACCCGGATCTTCACGGGTACCCTTATGAGTGTGCGGGTTTAGTGTTACGCCGCACTCAGCAATATTCCAGGTATATGGCGGCGGTCTGTAAATAAACGAGTCTGAACCAGACAATCCAGTGATCAACAGCATGGGCATCGATCCACGCAATTGGGATCCGATGACATGTGTCAACCCTGTCAGCGAGCCTGACCGCCCGATCCCGTTTGTCGCCGTTGACATCATGAGCACCGACATATGAAACTGGGATGCGATGACGCCCCAAATAAGTTTAGCGAGCTTCACCACCAGATCCCGTTAATCGCCTTATACCACACACGCGGGTTGCTTAAGACGAGTTCTAACAGGACCTTCTGGGGAGTGCGTGTGATTTGTATTCTCATCTAAATGTGATATTTTACTCCGATATATACGTGCTCGAAGATCTGAAGACAGCTCCAAGCAATTACGATCACATGGGATCAACCGGGTCAGCAAACCTGACCACCTTGTCCCACTTGCAACCAGCATGGGTTTCTGGGAACTGATTCTTACTGGGTTTATTTGTTACTTAACACCACACAGCAATATTCCAGCTGTTTGGCGGCGGTCCGTAAATAATGGAATCAGGACCAGACAATCCAGTGATCAACAGCATGAGCATCGATCTTCGCAATTGGGTTGAGTTGAGTTGAAATTGTGTTTTACATTGTGCTTGAGAATATTTCGCTCATATGACGACGTGCATGCGTGTGTAGTTGTATGTGCGGCTGCTTGTACTAGCCCAGACTGAAGCTGGTTTTATAGTGCTAGCCCACTGGGATACCATGCCGCAGTGAAGCATGAATACCCCACTCAGACACATTATACTGACTCCGAACCGACCAGTCCTTGTTGTACCCATTAATGCCGAGCGCCAGGCAGGGACCAACAAGTACCATATATATTTACGTCTTTTGGTATGACGCGGTCGGGGATCGAACCCGCGACCTTCCGCTCTCCGGGCGGACGCTCTAACCACTACACCACGCAGGCGGTCTTCGCAATTGGGATACGGTGACATGTGTCAACCAAATCGCCTCTTCATGGGTCTGTTCTGACTAGGACTGACAAGGGAGAAAGAACTATGTATGGAGACTGACGTTAAAAGTTAGTAAAAATAACACAACTGCTTTGCAGTTCAACCAGTGGTGAAAAGCCTCTACAGATCTAGTGCGTGACTCTGCATGATTGCACGAATATGTGCGTTAACGAGCGCGTTACTTGTCTCGTCTCGGTCTTTAAAGATTAGTTTTGAAGTGTTTAAATAACAAACCAGACATTTAATACATATTATACTGTTAATCTTTTCAGGTATATATCAAACAATAAGAAAACGAACCCATTTGTGAGACAATTATTTAATTGATGAAAAATGTTACAATTGATTACTGAGGATGTTATGCGCGATGAAACTTCAGATATAGCTTGGATATATATTATACATGATGACCAGGTAGTCTCTATACGCTGGTGATGTATTTCACGTGTTCGCTGTACAATACTTTCACCCATATCAAGCCGTTACACTTGAATGCCGGTGTACAATATCGATATACATCAAGACAGTCACTGCAGATTGTTTCAACCAAAGCAGTTGACCTGCACCACTTCGGGCTATTCTCCAACATTAAGCTGTCACGATGTGACAAAACAAAATACTGTATAAAGTGGCGTTTTACCAAACTCACTCACTCACTGTTGACATACTCCAAACTGTCACTATACGGTGTCGATACGTACCAAGTGGTCCCTATACGATGTTGATATACAGTAAGTGGTCGCTATACCATGTTGATATGTACTACAGATTGTCATTATTCAGTGTTGATATATGCAAGAGATTGTCAGTGTACGATGTTGATATATACCAATATTGACACTATTTGATGTTGATATATACAACAGATTGTCACTATTAGCTGTACAGGTGGTGATATACGACAGATTGTCAATGTACAATGTTGATATATTCCCATATTGTCACTATTTGATGTTGATATATACTATATACAGATTGTCACTATTAGCTATACAGATGGTGATATACGACAGATTATCAGTGTACGAGGTTGATATATTCCAGGTGGCCACTATACGATGTTGATATATTCCAGATTGTCCCAGAACGATGTTAATATACCCAAAGTGGCCACTATACGATATTGATATATCCCAGGTGGCCACTATACGATCTTCATATATCCCAGGTGGCCACTATACGATGTTGATATATCCCAGGTGGCCACTATACGATCTTGGTATATCCCACGTGGCCACTATACGATGTTGATATATCCCACGTGGCCACTATACGATGGTGATATATCCCAGGTGGCCACAATACGATGTTGATATATCCCACGTGGCCACTATACCATGTTGATATGTCCCAGGTGCCCACTATACGATGTTGATATATCCCAGATGGCCACTATACGATGGCAATGTCGGCACAGTTGTAGTACTGTTCCTGTCTGCCCCGACCCAGGCCGCACCCAGAGGCATCGCATCCCCAGAAGTTACCTGAAACATGGCATGTATTGATTGCGGTCACGAGAAAATATGTGACATTTGACATGAAAACAAAGAAAGTCTACACAATAATACCCTTTAATTGTACTCACAACCGGAAGTAAGGCCTTGACGATGACGCAGATTGAAATTATGATAACATACAAAAAGGTACATGCACTCTGGTTGTATTGTTCTGTCAAAAGACGTCAAGGATTAGAAGACATTTTGCATTATGAAAGAATCGGGTGGCCCTTAAACTTAATTGAAGTAGACATTGGTATATTTATATAATTTTTCGATAAATCATTTTGTTGTCAGTACCTTTAGTCCGGAGAAATACAAGAAGTTGCAAGGGGGTAAATGATCTTTTACCTGTATTATACTTCCACTGCAATATGCACTGTTGACATCTGACCCCAGCCGGAAGTGACACCTGGACGACCTTCACACCAGTTCCCGCGGTAAGGTCATATCTTGTTCTCCCGTCCGCCATCTTTAATATATGTTGGTCGAAGCATTCGTGGCTAGCTGGCCTGGTGACGTCATTGTTTTCACACAACCGGAATTCGAAGTAGCCTTTGTGATTGGCTGTCAGGTTTATCTTAACTGCGACGCTACTTCCGGCGGTGTAACGGCGTCCGATTATACCCTTGGCGAACTTTCCACCGGCCTCGTTATCGCGTGGAAGACTGTCCCATCGGTCCCCACAAATGCCGCATTTACCGTTGTTGACGGTCCACAGTACCTGGAACACATGGCAAATAAATGTTTCTATCAGGTGCATATACAGATATATATTTGATTAATTAACGGGTTTTTCTTCAAAAGTATGTCACGGTCATTTCCTTGTGAGACGAATGTCCAAAGTAATACCGGTCTTAATTTTTACTCCCACATGGGTACAATGTGTAAAGCCCATTTGTGGTGTCCCCCGCCCTGATATATTGCTTGAATATTGCTAAAAGCGGCGTAAAACATAATTCAGTCAGTCAGTCTTGTGCCCACATCTTGGTATTGCTGGTATATTGCTTCAAGAGGCATAAAACATGACTCACCCACCCTCTCTATACTCTAACATTGAATTATGACAGTCTCAGCTCTGAGATCGTTTTGTGAAACAGACCTTGGGTACTGGTTTCAGCTGCCATATTTACCACCCAATCTTCTTATCTAGCCGGAGTCTATAAACCTGATGTACTGATGATATATCATGAATGGCATTCCATTTCCCAACTCACTCACTTAATTTCTACTTCTTTGGTGTATAAATTACGGGCGTAGATATTGTGCTTCTAAACCTTGAAAGGAGATCAGAGAGAATCTGGGATTCGAACCCACAATTCGGTTTCTGCGTTTGTAAGGGACACACTTATGTCGGCACCTAAAACGTCTCGGTCACCCGTGCCAAACGTTTCTGAGTGACTAGTGCAAAGAAATTATATACACAAGGACATAACAAAAATAACCTGGGTGCATCAAATTAGGCAGTAGGTGATCGAGTCTGAACCAGACAAACCATTTTTAAATAGCATGCGTCACGTTCCACGCCTTCCTGACACAAAAGCAGCCAGGAGTAATAAAATAAACTGAAACCAGGCCGTGTATTTCATGGTTATCACTCTGATGAGTCTAGGGTAGAACAGATTCCCTGTACCCTCTGCTTGTATCCCCGGGGTTCTAGAGTAGGACCCCTGTACCTACTCCTTGTTAAGTAGTGGTGGTCCGATTAATTGAAATAATCGAAGATTGGTCGCAGTGACTAAACGACTAAACAATCGATCATGTTTTCTCATAATCGAGCACAAACAATTCTGGAACACTTGTTTTCATTAACAATATTTTCAACAAGGTTGGTTTTGTCTGTTACATTTCATAAGCACTACAAGCCTGTTTCAACTCATGATTGAATTTATCTGAAAGACTCCAAGAAATGTAAGTCATCCTTTAAAGATGTGAAATATTGCCAAAACACCCAAAGAACTACATGTTTTTCCTTATTTTTATGTGCATTAACAAATTTCATTAATTACGCTAACCAATTCTTTTCGATGATTGATCGGTTGTAATGAACCAATCATCAATTATAAGATTTTAACCAATTCCCAACACTATTGTTTAGCCGATTTTCTTGTTGCAGAACAGATGCCCAGGAACTGACTGGCAGGGTGACCATCAGTATGATGCGTATGATGCGACTTGGGAACCGAACCATCGACCTTCCTCCCTACAGGCAGACACTCTACCCACTTGACTACAATGGAAAAGAAAAACCTTAAAAACTTACCCCAAACCCACCGCAAAATAAGCCGTTGTCGTTGTAGTTGACGACGGCTCCGGCGATGTTTTGCCGCCACATACTAGAACGTGCAGGAGGTTCAAACATGTAACCATGGCAACGGATGACTTCAATCTGACCAGCGACAACCAACAATATTACAAGAGGTGTAATATCCATGTCAAAGCGGTGATTAGTGATACAATAAGACAACTTTGGAAACCTCTCCGAATGGGGTAGGTCCTGGCCATAAGGCTTATATATACCCATGGCACACAATAGACTGGGGTGAGTAAGTATACTTTGATTTCAAATTTCAACATATCATAGTTAAGATCCGATGACAGTGACAAGTTTAGAACCTATTTTCGAATCTAAATCCTGTTTGTGGTCAAGTACCGGATAAATCGTGTGATTGCGAAATATGCTGATATCATGATCGGACTGAAATTTAAAGACCCTCTTGGCTTTTATTTTTAAAATTCATTTTATACTGTATAGAGACTGGATAGTTTACAATTAAAATTGACATAATCAAAATACAATAAAAAGTAGAACATCACGAAATATTGTATTTGTTCTGGCAGTCATTTCCTTTGTTTTTTATTGGTTGAAGCATAATGAATTGCGTAAAGCATTTTTTGCGACGTATTTGCAAGGAAAGCACACGCATGCACGCACGCACGCACGCACGAACGCACGATCGCACGCACCGATATGCTTTAACCCGTGAGGATCCGGGTTAGAATTGGTCTTCAGTAACCCATGCTTGTCATAAGAGGCGACTAACGGGATCGGGTGGTCAGACTCGCTGACTTGGTTGACACATGTCGTTGTATCTCAATTGCGTAGATCGATGCTCATGATGTTGATCACTGGATCAATATTGCTGAGTGCGGCGATAAACATAAAACAAACCAAACAAAAAACCGATATGCATTAACTTTTAATAAGTCAAGGCGTGCAAATATCTCCGGCTAATTTCAACATCTTAAATGTGCTATATGCACGCTGTCTATCGTTTAACTGATGCACGTCCAAAAACATACACTTTTGAAAGTACTATACAAATTGGGATTTAATGCGTAAGTTCACTGAAAGTGAGTGAGTGAGGCTCAAGGACACCCTTCGCAATATTCCAGGGGCCCGTTTCACAAAGCGATCTATCGTAGCGCCACGACTGTCGTAAGTCTATGTTAAAGGGTGGGAGTTACGATCACCTTAGCGCTACAATTGGGTTCCACCAGAAATGGGGTTCACACATTGTGCCCATGTAGGGAATCAAACCTCCGTCTTCGGTGAGACGAGCCCCCCAGTTCACTTAGATATCAATGACCCCAGTTAAACATGAATTTTCCACTCGTACTCAGTGTGGCGTAGAAATATTTATCCCCTTTCATAGGATTTCATATAGATTTCTAAATTAGATATTTTAGTAGTCTAAGGGAGACAACGCTGTGTTAACGTCGCTTATGTTCTGATTACCTCCCTTGTAGAAGTTGGAGTTACGGGCCCTTGAAACAAATGGCGTCAAAAGAAGATCGCCCGGCATGATCTTCATTCAAGTGATCCTTTATTGGGTGAGTGGTAGGCACGCCACAGCAGTATACAGACTCCTTGTTTTATCCCCTGAATACAGAGTGCCAGGCAGGATAACAAAAATCCACATCACCATTTGGCATGAAACGGGCGGAGATCGAACCGCCAAACATACGCTCTTCGGGCAGAACGGCGGTAGTGTAACCTTGTGGTTAAGCGTTCGCTCGTCACGCCGAAGACCCGGGTTCGATTCCCCACATGGGTACAATGCAAAACGCATTTCTGGTGTCCCCCGCCGTGAAATTGCTGGAATATTGCTAAAAGCGGTGTAAAACCAAACTCACTCGGGCAGAATTATCCGCAAGACCACGAAGGTGGTTCTTAGATATGAGGTTTCATTCATAATTAAGGGCTTCTTTATTTCAAGTAATTCTCATACATAACTTTATTTCAAGGCCTATTCCCGAAATGTGTAAATTCGAGGATTCAAAATACGTTAAATTTCCACAGTCATGTGCCCATCCTCTTTGTGTGTGTATTTTCACAGGGAACAAATAAATAGCTAACGCACCGGAAGGAAAGTGACGTGGATTTGTCGGCCACCATTGAATCTGAATGTATTCTGAGAAAGTCGATCACACCATCATCGAATGTTATTGTAATAGTTATATAATTACATCCGTGTTACTAGGTAAGGGAATTGTGACATGGTATTTGTACAGCAAAACAAATAACGGTTCGCCATTTCTCCTTTGTAGCATTGCAACCGTATCGCTGCGGGGTAAAGAATTTGTATAAATAGCGGAGTCGGATATTTTCAGTGATGCGTTAAAAGTCGGTTTTGAATGAGAGTAGGACTCTTATCTGATCTACCCGGTAACTACCGGGTATCCCGTGGAGGACTGATCTACCATGTGACAAGACGACATCGCTCCCTTTAATTACACTCAAGTGCCATCAAAGATCCGTGTTAGGATTGGTCTTCACCAACCCATGCTTGTCGTAAAATCGACTAACAGGATCGGGTAGTCAGACTCCCTGTCTTGGTTTTACACATGGCATCGTATCCCAAATGTAGAGATCGAGGCTCTGCTGTTGATCACTGAATTGTCTGATCAAGCCTCGATTATTTACAGACCGCGGCCATATAACAGGAAAATTGCTGAATGTGGCGTTAAACAACAAACAAACAAACAAATAGACTCAAGAAGGTCCGAAGGTAGCTTTACACAAGTGTGACCTCATCCTAGAACTGATATACTTTTAAATACTTTAAAGTGAAATTATGCTAGGATCAGACTACTCCCACCTGAGGGTCGAATCACTCCCTTCACGAAAAATCACCCCCTTAGTATCAAAACACCCCACCGAAAAAATGTAAAATATGCAAGGATTTCGAAGTAACTACCCGGCTCCGACAAGGCTGGGTAAATATTCTCATAGGTATCCTGTTGACGTTTGATCATGGACACTCCCCTTCGTTTCGAAGAAAATTATTTTGTTTGAAAAGCCCTTACCATTGAAGCAATCACATTCCTTTCTTACACGAACATACATTTAATCACTCTCTCCTAGGCTCGTCCTGTACACAACAGAAAGGCCTGTTTCATGTAAGTTAATTTTGTGATCTTAGACAGAATTATCTTAAGGGACCTTGAAAATATTGATATTTGCATCTGAGAAACCCCAGAAACATTTTCTATTCGGGCAATAAAAAAGAAAACCTGCAAAAGTGTAATATATTGAAGGACATGTCCGCGAATTTGCTCGTAGAGTTGGGACACCCAGACAAAGATACAACCAGCCCAAAGAGTTAGTGAGAATGGTTTTACGCGGCTTTAGCAATTTTGCAGCAATATCACGGCGGGGACACCAGCAATGGGTTTCAGACATTGTACCCATGTGGGGATTCGAACCCGGGTCTTCGACGTGACGAGCGGACGTTTTAACCATTAGGCTCCCCCACCGCCCCCATAGCCAAAAGATACAACCAGCCCATGAATATTTGGGTTAGAATTGGTCTCCAGGGACTCCATGGCCTAGATTTTTCGAAGCTCTCTTAGCGCTAAGATAGTCGTAAGTTTCATACATTAACATAAACTTCCGACTATCCTAAAGCTAAGAGAGCTTCGAAAATCTAGACCCAGGGCTACTCCCAGCTTAGTCGGTGTGTCCTATCTCCCTTCTGTTATGGAGGGGCTGGGCACCCCCGTGGTTAAAGCGTTCGTTCGTCACGCCGAAGACCCGGGTTCGATTCCCCACATGAGAGCAATGTGTGAAGCCCATTTCTGGTGTCTCTGTGACATTGATGAAATATTGCTAAAACGGCGTGGAACCATACTCACTTACCCACTCTATTGTGGTGTTGATCTCAGTGTGGAGATATGATCCCGCAGTATGGCTGAAATATTGCTGAGTGCGGCGTTAAACAACAACAAGAACACCTGAAAGTAGAGAATGGGCTAAACACGTAGTTGTCTTTGGATATTATGCAATAATAAAGGATATAATTGATATCATGAATATCAATTTTATTTTAATATCTTTCTGCTATTAAGCCTTTGAATTGTTTTGATAAAAACTTTCACTTGAAATAGGAGAAGGATCTATTCAGCACACGCCGGACGCGACCCTTGGAATTAGGGGCAAAGACAAGGACAAGGGTTCGATATATTGTGTCTGAGTGTGCGTCCGTGTTGTGTTATAATACGTCTCCCACAATAAAACCTACATTAGTAAGGACTAGTACAAGCAGCGACACACACACGCTCCACTTCTCACGCACACCATCTTCAACAAACTTGAACGCAGTGCTAATTTCGGCTTAGCTCACGAACATGAAACATAGAGACAATAACGTGAAAACTGTTTATTGTTCAAAAATTATAATAAGGAAATATAGAAAAGGTAGACAAAACGTGATATATATAATTGATATCACAGTAGGCAATATGGCCGTCGATAAAGCTACTCGAGGCAGCCATCGTCAAATAACAGTGAAATATCTCCGAACATATCACAAAAGAGATGGTGTTAACATGAGTGTGTGAGTTACGTTTTACGCCGCACTCATAAATATTCCAGCTAAATGGCGGCGGTCTGTAAATAATCGAGGCTGGACCAGACAATCCAGTGATCAACATCATGAGCATCTATCTACGCAATGATGGTGTTAACAGATACCTAACAACAACTTACGGTTGCTGTAGCACCACATTTCAACAAAGAAGCAATGATGTGTGAAGTGGAAGCTCGTTTATTCCGATTAGATAACTGATTCTGTATCTCAAAAATGAATGTGATGGGCAGCTCCGAATGGAGAATAAAAAAACACTGTTCGTGTTTTTACACCCTGACGTTTCTGAGGGTCTGCCAAATTCACTCAAAGGTAATTGCGAATAGCATCTGATTTCTGCGCGGTTTTCTTCAATTTGAATTTAGTTTCTATATTTTTGAATTAAGTTTAATATTTACGAATCAACGTGGTGAGGACATTGTTGACATAATATGACCATGCATCTTTCATTTTGTTTTTGGGGGTGGGGGTCTAAGTTCGCAGAGGAACTATCAGAGGAATTGTTAATTCATGACGGAGAGCTGTGTGAAGAAAAGAGAATAAGATATAACGTTAATAAGAAATAAGATGGCTAAAAGTGACGACCGCCACACAAGGTATACATGGACAAATAGCATGACACGGTTATATTTAGTGTCAGGCTAATTGTCAGGCCTAAAATATTCTGTTTACTTTGTTTAAACATAACTCAGTTTGTGCGATATCATACTGAGTTGAAATGATCCAGGCCGTGGTCACGCTGGTAAATTTGTTGGAGATTTACGAGCGCTTCTGGAAAGCCCGGTTTCGCACTCCTTTCGTTTATCACTCTTGTTTGAAAGAAGCAAGCATATCTGGGACAACAGAAAACAGAACAATGTTTTAAGGGACTCTAAACGGATTCCAAAGCTGAGAAAATATAATCCCAAAATATAAAATATGCATACATCTGTTTTAGTGGACGTGCCAATGCCTCTATGTTGTTAGTGATTAAATAACAGAAGATAGCCATTTGCTTCCTTGGCCATACCTTTACGTGGAATATTATTGGCTGACCATCTGATTACTTTATAGAGGATATTATATGAGTGCCCATGTCATACTATGTTTACGACACGAGTGCTTAAATGTTGGTATTTCCCGAGCGAGAGTATGATATGGGCACGAATATAATATTCTGTTTATTACCGAAGTCGTCAAATGGAGGAAAATAAACCCAAATATACTTTCAAACTCAGGCTGGCTACCCGCCGTCGCCGCATAGCATTGTTCATGACGTCACGTCACCATGACAAAGTGATATTTTGCACTAGTAGGGCTTCGTATGAAAAATATGAACCCCGATATGTTCGCCCTCGTAGGTAATAAATATTAATATTTCTGTGCATAAATATGTTTTGTGAACATTCACAAATATGTTCGGCAGATCAGACATGAGGCTGGATAAACTAGCCAGAACCGGACATTTTTTGCAACGCAACGGTAGAATAACAAATCAAATTCTAGTTGCAAAATATATGATAAAACACAAAGTGTAAACATGGGAAGCACCTAAACGATCATAGTCTAGGTGTTTTCACTCCATGAAATATAAAATTGAGATATTCATGCAAAAGCGACCACTGCATATCAGGTACCGTTCAATGAAATTGCATCACAATGCTTTGCAGACCATTAAGTCACATTTAAATGCCCGCCAATTTTCTCTACCACTGAAGCTAGTTAGTTCTACAACTTACACTCAAGTGAGTGAGTGAGTGAGCTTAGGTTTACGCCGCACACAGCAATTTTCCAGCTATATGGCGGTGGTCTGTAAATAATCGAGACTGGACCAGGCAATCCAGTGATCAACAGCATGAACATCGATCTGTGCGACTGGGAACTGATGACGTGTCATAGAAACAGAGTTCTTCTCTATTTCTATGCATGTGTCAACGAAGTCAGCGAGCCTGACCACCCGATCCCGTTAGTCCCCTCTTACGACAAGCTTTGGTTACTGAAGATCAATTCTAACCCGGATCTTCACGGGCCATTTACACTCAAGACACTGGTTATTACAGTTTACAAACTGTAAAAAATTGGAAGGATGATTTTGGCTGATCTGACCAGGGTGACCTATATGACATATACACTTATCAAACCGCGGGGTTTTAAATATAGGTGACACATCTGATATTAGGACAACATTCCTGTGTTTCTCATCGCCCGACCGACTGTAATTTGGCCGCCTATCCGAAAATATTTTATTCGCCGACTCGAACTCAGGACCTACCGACTGCTCATTCAGTTGCTTTCTGTCTGTGTCAGGGCTAGGATGAAAGGCTGTAGTTATATAGAACAAGCGAAAATTCACAAGAAGGCTACAGCCATGGGTATTATTCATATTTCTCAGCATTTCATTTATTGATGCACTAATATAATAAAGAGTAAAGAAACATTTGATTGTGGGATCTTACTTTGTGGCAGTGATATTTGATTCGATCTATTTCGATGTTCTTTTCTGCAATTCTTTGTTTTTCTCTGCTGCTTTTATTTGCAATACAATTTGTGTTATGGATTCAAAATCTGGAAATTTGACAACAAATGATTTTGCTGTATAATATATTTACTTCCTGAATAATAAAACCCAACAGAATAAGATAGTTTTTTAAGGCAGGTCTATTCTTCTTTTTCAGATGCAGATTTCCCATAGCAGCTTCTAAACATGCAAAATATAGCAGAATGAAAGTTACAGAAGTTTGTGTCAGGATTTTTTTCTTGTTTTTTTTTTTTGAAAACCAACGGACACAACTTTTGATCATGGAGGCAAAGTGCTACAAAAAAAAATGCTGCTCCCTTATAAGACACTCGGGGAGGTTGTCCATCTGCCTCGTCTGTATACATAGGCAGATCCAGAGGGGTGGTGGTGGTGGGGGGGTGGGCGGGTGCAGGGGTGCGCACCCTCCCTTTTCTCCTGAAATTTTATTAAATGACCATTGAAACTCTCGTGAAAATGAAGTGTGCATCCCACCTTTCTCAATAGTGTGCACCCCTCCTTTCTCAAAAAAGCTGTATCCGCCCCTGTGTATATCAGAAAAAAATGAGAGAAAAAATATTCGTCACTATTCGCCCTTTTCCGTAAACTGACCAAAGAACACACTCGGCAACAGACAAGTACGAATAACACGAGTGGTTCTGAAAGGAATGATTCCGATTATGTCCTCCAGGTTTCCCCTGGGATCACTGCTGCGCATAGATGACGCCTGCGCATCGATGATACGTAGCAGTCTGAGCATAGATGATGCGCAGTAGTCAGGTGCGCATAGATGATGCGCAGCAGTCAGGCCTGGGACAACCTGAAGTGCTGACGCGTATTGCACAAACTCCCAATAGCGCCATGGATGGCGAAGGGAGTCTTGCTGACTTCGTTGTAGTTTCGTATTGCAAGGACGTCCTTTCTTTCTGGAATAAATCAACAAAACCTTCTCGGTGCTGTCTATGATGGGGTCTTCTCCTTCCACGCTTCAATGAAACAATACCTGTTTGGAGTTAAGGCTACAAATTGATTGTGAGTTGGGGTTTACGCCCATTTGAACAGTATTTCATGTCGCTCAACGCATGTCCGCTTGTGAGAAGAAAACCCATGGTATAACATAACCTTGACGTAAACCCGCCTTTTTTAAGACCCATGGTTCTAAAACAAACTGAGAAAGTTATTCTCTGGCCGAATCGTTACTCGAACCAGGGAGACTCTATAAGTTGCAGAGTATCCCTGCTCGAACCAATGACTCGCCAAAGGGGTGCAACTCTGTATAGCACAGAATATGCTGAGGCGTCATTGTCAATAACATTCGTAACTACTCGCCTCTTTCCGTGACAAGAAGACTCGTACCTGTATAGTACGCCATTATTGCAAGAATCGTGGCAAACCAATCAAACTGCGCGTAGTAAAACGCATTTCGAAGCATGAAAATGGCGGCACGGTCGAACTTGGAATCTTCGGTAAATTATGCAAAGCACAATTTAAATATAAACTTTGAACTGAACACTGAAACATCTTTACGAAGGGAATGACTGCATAGCTCTTTTGCCCACGGGATATGGGATATTACATAGCCATGTTTGGAAATTCAGAGTTATTTTTCCATGGAAATATAACACTAGACTATTTTCATCTCAGTGCCCGTTTGCGCTTAGACAAGGCCCAGTCGTGAAGATGGCCACGAGAGGGGTACGACTCGCCATCCGGTTTGCCGGAATGACACAAGTAGTTACGAATGTGTCATAAAACCTAAAGCTAATACACAACCTATCAACGGGTTGTGCTCAGTGGCGTCTAAACTGGATGGGGTGATCACGGTCGGTGGGTAGGATTCATAATGGTCCGTTGCTCATTATATCAACCACTGGTTTGTTTGACCTTGACTCGGTTTATTTAAATGATTATTTTTATGCAGATGGAACAGTGCGAAGTAAAACTCATACTCACACAGTGACCAATTGAATAAAGTGTTGGAAATAATCATTAAAGGTGAAAGCTTATTTAAGATATACATGACTGTATAAACAGTAATTAAGTATCAGGTCAACCTCATAATCAAGCTTTCCATTTAAATTTTTATACAAAAAAACGTTTATATTTTGATTGTGACTTGCACACATTGTGTTTGTGTTTATATACACATACATTGGCCCTGTTTTGTTTGAAGGATACATTTCTTGAAAAGAAGGGACATATTTTGTTAAAATGTTGTACTCCAGGCCCATTCGTTGAAGGCTCTTCTTGGTCTCACGCCCGTATTCTGTAGAGCTGGCCGTATTTCCCTGTGTTAATACAATAAGATGAACATACTATTTACGAAGCGTCCAGTTATACTGACATTTACACAATATATACAAGGGCAAAATAATCTATACCTTTCATTTGGCTCTTGCATGTCCCAGCGATATCCAAAACAATTGACTGTACAGCACTCAAGAAATATTTCTTAGTGCTTTTTTTTGTTTTTTGTTTTTTGTTTTTGTAATACTACACTCTTCAAAAAAGGAACCGCTTAGGTGATTTTGAGAATATAGGACTCATGTAGCTGCGTTCAAAAACAATACAAATACTATATTTTCCAAAACGTCATCTATGTGTGATTGCAAACAGCTTCAGTGCCAAAAGGCGTAATGTTTTCCCTTGTTTTATAGAAGCGTTAGAAGAACTTTGATCGATTCTAAATCTTTGTTTAAAACTGACACGGTCTGGGAAAAGTAAATGACCGTTTTTGTTCTCTGATCTAGAATCCTTAAAATTTAAAATTCACTTACGGTGACATAAAGAAAACGTATTTAAAGGGAAGCGAAATGGATCACCAAAATGTTGAAATATCATAATATCTGTCACCGGAAGTTGGGTCCAAACTCGATTATTTAGAAACCACAATAAAAAAGCTGCAACACAGCACACAGCAAGATGGAATTTAGTCAAAACCCTTTTCTGTAAGCTCAAATAGTTCAGGGCGTTGTAACTATCTTCTCATGAAGGGAAAACATATTTATCTGGCTTTTTCTACAAATAACGAAGTACTCACCCGTGCTAAATACTTCCCTTCAGGGGAGAGAACTCTGATGCTCAACTCCAGAATCACACTGGATGTGACGAAATCGTACTCAAACCCTGCAAGATAACTCCAGGAATTAAGACATTCTATCACCATATTGATTTCCGGATTTTATTTTAGGGCATTAATCCATTTTCACCCGTGAACATCCGGGTTACAATTGGTCTTCATCAACCCATGCTTGTCGTAAGAGGCGACTAACAGGATCGATGCTCATGATGTTGATCATAGGATTGTCTGGTCCAGATTAGATTATTTACAGACCGCCGCCACGAAGCTGGAATATTGCTGAGTGCGGCGTTCAGAAACAAATAAACTATCAACATGAAAACTTGCTTCCTTCATGATTTGGGGCGGTGGGGTAGCCTAATGGTTAAAGCGTTGGCTCGTCACGCCGAAGACCCGGGTTCGAATCCCCACATGGGCACAATGTGTGAAGCCCATTTCTGGTGTCCCCCGTCGTGATGTTGCTGGAATATTGCTAAAAAGCGGCGTAAAAACCAAACTCAGTCAGTCCTTCATGATTTGGTTCTAATCAGATGTTGACACATGTCATCAGTTCCCAATTGCGCAGATCGATGCTCATGTTGTTGATCACTGGATTGTCTGGTCCAGACTCGATTATTTACAGACCGCCGCCATATAGCTGGAATATTGCTGAGTGCGGCGTAAAACTAAACTCACTCACTCACTTAAATCAGATATTTTGAAGTTGTGAACAGTGACTTTTGATTAATATTTTGAACAATATTTTAGTATTTCAATCAGACATTTATATTCAGTATATGACCTCAGGTTGCCCTGTGAAGATTAGAGCTGGAAATGATCTTTAGCAGCCCATGCCTGTCACTGGCAGGATCAGGTGGTCAGACCCGCGGAGATCGATGCTCATGATGTCAATCACTGGATTGGGATTTAACTCGATTATTTACAAACGGCCGTCATACAGCTGAAATACCGCTGCGTGCGTCGGTGTTAAACAAACAAACAAAACCAAAAGGTATATGAGATATGCCCACTTTGTATCAGTGCTGAACTGTGATCAAACCCCGATATAGGGTGCCGCAGTTTACCGTACAGAGTTGCGTCCCTTGGACACTTCAGGATCCCGGTTATACTTCTATGTATGTCAGAATTAATTGAGTGAATGAGTTTGGTTTACGCCGCTTTTAGCCGCAATATCACGGCGGGGGACACCAGAAATGGGCTTCCCACATTGTACCCATGTGGGGAATCGAACATAGGTCTTCAGCGTGACGAGCGGGCGCTTTAACCATTAGGCTACCCCTCCGCCTCCGTCAGCATTAAGGGGGTTAAAGTTGCATCATGTTTGTTTTCAACCCATGATAAACGGAAACCTGTGATTTAACTGAATCACCCTTATCTAAGTTAAATCATGTAAACATATTTAACTTAGATGTATGAGAAGTAACATCTCTTTAACATTTTATTTGTAACAACAAAATTATTATCAAAATTCAGAAAAAAATGACATGTGACATTTCCTTTTCTATTTGGGTTATTAAAACAAACAATGAAATGAATTAATGTTATTGTATCAGGAATCTAAACAGCAGAGTGGGCTGATAAGTGGTTCAGTACATTACAAACTGGTTAATGAGTCACGCAATGTTTTATCGTAATTTTTTGTTTGGCTAACATAACAAACCTTGGAACATTTGAATGTTCAGTGAAAGATGGAGCTCATGGTTCAAGGGTAAATGGCCCGATACTCAAAAACAAATTACATAAACGAAAAATGTTCAAAAAGCTTTGTGCAGAGTAAGCACGAATATGAAGGAGAGTAATTGTGGCCGATCTTTGGTAGGTGAGCTGTGGACAGTGACAATAGGGCGTCTCCGGTCTTAGGGTCAGTGGGTGCAATATGTGAAGCCAGTTTCTGGAGTTCACCTCTCCCCCTCACCCCACCATCCCCTCGCTGTTTTACTGCACCCTTCAGAAGGTGAGGGGGCAATGCGCAAATTGCAGGAGTGAGTTTAGTTTTACGCCACTTTTATGAATATTCCAGCAATATCACGACGTAGGGACACCAGAAATGGGCTTCACGCACTGTACCCGTGTGGGGATACGAATCCGGGTCTTCGGTGTGACGAGCAGGCGCTTTAGCCACCGGGCTACCCCACCGCCCGAACATTGCGTGAAGCCCCCTTCTGTTTCTATAGCGGCGTAAAATCACACTCACTCGCTCACTCTAAACCTATGTATCAGAGTGGGGTAGCCTTATGGTTATAGCGTTCCCTCCTCGGTTTCGATTACCATGTGTGGATGTACCCATGTGGGGATCGAACCTGGGTCTTCGGCGGGAGGAGCGAACGCTTTAACGCTACCCCACCGCGGTGCTTCAGTACATAAAGAATAAA